GAAAGAGTGAGTGGATTGATGCTCTTCTTTGCAATCTTAATGAAATTGCCGGCTGGAAATTTGCACTTTGTTCTATGGAGAACAAGGTTAGATTGTTTATTGGCGACTTTCAAAATTATTATGTTTTTATTCACTAAAACTTTTTGCATTTGGAACTTGCAACATGAACAAGAATCATGCCTCTCTGTCCTTGTTCCAGATATTTTGTTGCACACTTTTAGTTGATTATGAAATGGTAGACCATGTTTAGATATTTATGGTAATAATATGATAATATCTGTGCTTATTCATGTATTTCCACTGTGATTTTATGGTTTGTTTCTGTTATTTAGTGACCTTTACTTAGATAAGAAAAGTAAATAAATTATTTCTTTCTCCCTCTAGTTATACTTTATTTCTTGCATGTAATGATGATTATTTGTTGGACAGTAAGTTAATTGAGTGTGTTTCAGAAACCAATTGATTTACTTAAATGGCTCTGGATTCTCAATATTTCATAAAGTTCATTGGGTGAATATAACTATTCTATTTGTCTCCAATCTACGACTACAACATATTTCTTCACGTTGACTATAATCAAAAGTGCTTTTCCAGTTAGTGGGGATGGCAACATTGATTAAATGTCAGAGACTCAGACTTATTGGTAGTTCATATTAGCTATGGAATTGTTATTTGTTAAGATGTTTGGAAAACATAACCCTTCAGAGTAGAAGTATAACCTACTTCATAATGATTGGAGGCAAACCACTGTTTTTCATGTGCATACGCCTCTGAAGTTTTATCTTAAATGGTTCTGTATCAATTCCTTTTTTGTCAAGTGTCAACACTATGTTAAATGCCACCTCCTTTCTTTGACCTCAAAAAATGAGTACTGATAAAAGTAAGTCCAGGAATCATACACCCGGTGTCCACCCAGCACATGTGGTTAACAACATGTGTAAATATGATTAATTTTGTATTATAAGTGGTTAACTACTATTAGACATTTCAATAAGTTTATCACACTAACAATCTCTTGTGAGATAACATTAACTATTCTTAGGCATTTCAATAATTTCATGATACTATTAACCATATACAGATAACTGTATATAATTATGTTCTTTTCTTTTAACCACTTGTGAGACAAAGTTAAGTTTATCATGTGTGACAGTCAATAAGCACATGATACTATTAACCATTTGTGAGACAAAGTTAACTACTATTAGATATTTTAATAACCTATTGACGCTATTAACCATATATAAATAATTGTATACAGTCACATTTATTTACTCTTAACCACTTGAGACAAAGTTAACCAATATTAGACATTTCATTAATCAATTTTCATATTTTATACAATCACGTTCATTTACTTTTAACCACTTGTGAAGTAAAATTAACTATATTTATACATGTAGTTAACCAGGTATCCGGGTGGACACCGAGTGTACAATTCCCAGGTGTTCGTTGCTCTTTTTCCTAAAAAAAATCAGTACAAGGTAAATTGGGCTTGTGCTCTGCTCACACATCAAGCTCAAATGGCTGTCTGCAATAGATGTTTAATTTTAGGAGTGGTCTGTGTCAGATATGCAGACAGATTGGAAAGCCCTTTCATCTGTTTTATTTTTCTTATTTTAAAAGCACTTTGTTTTTGGACATTGGAGGTGTATTGATGTACCTATCTATGTCTTGTTAATTCCATAGTTTCTGTGCTGAGTGGCTGCTCCTTGTAATCATCATTGATTTGTTTCACAGAAGTTCCCGCGGGTTAAACCTGTGTTAAATTGTGTCATTTTCTCTTATTTTTATCCATTTTGTCCTGTTGTAACATATTTGTTATGCTGACAAGTATTGCCTTTTCTAAATCCATTGCTCTTACATTCCAGTCAGAATTTGTGCATTTTTCTTTTTGACTCTTTTTTGACTACACTATAGGTTAGAGAACATGCTCGAAAACTTTTGGAGAAACACTTGAAGAAGCCTTTCTTTAATGTGCGGTGAGTTTTGCATATTATATTTTTGATTTATTCTATTGGTCATCCTTTGTCAGGCCTTTGTTATTTATTGCTTTTGTTAGAAAAGCTACTTGTTATCTTCTGTACAACTTGTATAAAGCTGATTTCTGTTGTATCTATCTGTCAGAGGTGTCCTAGGTGTAGACTTTCTCTCCCTTTTGTACTTCGTTCATACTTGGGTTTTATGCGCACACACACATATACATAGATCTGCTGAGTGATATACCACTGAAGGTTTTTTGAATTCTAAAAACAGTTTATGAGCTTGGTATTAGAGTGGGTTCTGTCCTGCTCTGTCGTCTTCAGTCTGATTGCTGTTGGCCACAGTCATTGTCCACCCTCCATTGTCGCCATCTGATAAGTTCCTGGAAATTTAAGAATACTTTATTGAATAAAAAAAAGAGTTACAGGAAGTGATCTGCTTTCTCTTTCTTTCCAGAGCATAGGCTCCGCACAATTTCTCAAAGAATAACTTTCCCTCCCCTCAGACTTCCCCTGATCCCTTTTTTATATCCCTCCTAGCTAACTTTCTAGATAATCTTATCTCTTCCTAGATAATACTTACTTTAATTTAAAAAGATAAAACAGAAGATAATTATCAATTTCCTAAATAGATAACAAACAGAAAATAAACTGTTAAATCTTATTCCTCCTAGTGTAGACTCTCCAAACCTTGGGCCTGCTATCTTGCCTTACTAATTGGGCTCTATCACCATCCAAGTTGTTGACAACCTTCTGGAATTGGGTTGTATCTCTGAGCACTATCTAACTGCCAAGACTGGTGGCAGAAACCTCTGGATGCATGCACAGCACTCATTTTCTGAGGCGCTCTGGTCTCTGTACCTCAGATAGTGATGTGTCACCACCACTGCTCTAGTCAGCTTCTCCTGGTTCTGTTTCAAGGCTCATCTTGCCCTTTTAACACCATCTGAGTAGCGGGTCTTCTGTTACCACCTGTTTTTTAGGGAATGTCCCTGTTTTCTTTAGATATGGAAGCTACATGTTCTGCCCTCTCCATATATGAAACTCCTACAATTAGTATTGAAAAGCTCAACATGGAATTAAGTCAAAATCAGTGGAACTTTGGTTTCTTGGTCAATGATAGCATGACCGCCTAGAAAAGGAAATTAGTGCAATTCCAACAACATACTGTGCCCAGTAGCAAAGCCTTGATTTTCAACTGTCCTGTATTATGGTAGTTTGTGGAACCAAGTATCTTGGAAACACCCGGGACATTCAAGATCTGTCATTCCTTTTGGAAGAAAACAATTTTTTTCCCAATGGCATCAACTGTTTGCATGACTCTGCCCACAAACTGATCATGATAGGATCTCATATATTGCACTGGCTCAACATACCGATAAAGAGTTGAAGATGTTTATAGAAGTTGATTCTTTGGAAGAAATTAAGAAGAAACATGACAAGCTATATATGGTTCTGATTCCTCATGGTATGCATTTTGATTTTGATAATGTTTGTGATCAAATTCTGACCAGTAAAAGTTTGTTCAATGAAGATTTAACCACATAAATCCTTCGTGTCTCTTCTCTAAATGAGAGTGGAATTCATCTTGAGTTAGCTGAATCCTCTGCAATGCTGTTTGCTTGAGGAAGAGGAGGTTGTGGTGGTAGGAGTGAACACCCTCAATGGCCATATTGTTAGGATTCCACAATAATTAAAATAGAATCAGAAGCAGCCACAACAATTAACAAAGCATTTGGATAGAAAATCTGTGAATGTATTAATACTGAAATAAAATGTATAGACCCAAACCAGAGCCTGAGACTCCTCACCAGAGCATGATGCTCCTCAGAGAAAGAAAATTCTCTGTCCAATAAAGTAACAAACTTCCACACCCCTCTCCTACTCCTCGTCTCCCCGACTTATTTATATGATGATTCTTTATAACTAACTCTACCAGCTCACCCACTCACTCCTTCGTGACCCCCCTCTCATTTTCTCTCCTAGAATAGACTCTTGTTATTTTGGGCTTTGTAATCATTGGCCCATCAATTGCCACCGGATTAAAAGATTTGTCTCCTTGGACTCTATCAGATATAATCAATATCTCCAAATGTGAAGAATATGAACATAAAATTTCTGAGGATGAATATCAGGAATTCGTTTGATTGAAGTCCAACAATCAAGCCTTGTCATCATCCCCTAGTGCTTCAACATGTATTTCTCAATTAGTGGAGAGTCAATCCATGGATAATAGATTCAAGTGCTTATTTTTTGTAATAATTCCTTGCTCTCTTCTATTTCCTCACTTTATTACCTTAGCCAATGGGTCCATGTTTGTCTCTCATGGAATTGGTTAAGTTCTCTCTCTCTCTCTCTCTCTCCCCCTCTTTAAACTAAGAATATGTTCTCTTTGTTCCAAATTGTGCTTTCAATCTAATGTCTCTAAGTTAATTAATTAGGTTATTAATTGTTATGTAGCATTTGATGCCAATTCTTTTGTTATTTGGGAACATGGTTCGGGTTGACTAATTAGTGTAGGTAGGACTTAAAACTAGAGGACATTAGTATCTTGAAACCAGTCAATTTGTGTCCTGCTTTGCATCTTTGTCTCCTAAACTTCATGATCGTTTGGATCATCAACACTTGTCAAAATTGAAGAATATGGCTCCTGGACTCAACAAACTTCAGGTCATAGTGTGAGTCATGTCAATTAGGGAAAAGTGTTAGGTCTTCTTTTCCAAAGAAAACTGAAACAAGATGTAACTGGACTTCCTACCATTCATTTAGACATTTGGGGTCCAAGTTGTTTGACTTGTTTCTCATCTTTTGGATTCAAATATTTTGTCACATTTATTGATGAATATTCTCAATGTACTTGAGTTTATTTAATGGAAGCTTGATATGAACTTTTGGCTATTTTTTATATCTTTCTTCAATAGAATTGAGAATTAGTTTGGAAAAATAGTTAAATTCTCAGGTGTGATAATGCCAAAGATTTTTTTTTCTTCTAATCTTTGTTTTAAACCACGCAATGAATTTTACATCAATTTACTTGTCCTCACACACCACAACAAAATGGTATAACAAAAAGAAAAAATAGATATTTAGTTGAAATTGTGCATACCTTATTGCTTGGTGCCAATGCTCCTGTTCATCATGGGGATGATGCGATTCTAATTGCCTGCTTTATAATAAATAGGGTGTCATCTATTGCATTGCTTGATATAAGTTAGCTTTTTAGTTAGTGTATTAATCTTTCCTGTAGATGTCAAGTCCATGCTAAGGGCATGGAACATGTGGGGTAAAGAGTCAAACATTAGTCAGTCCCAGATAGCGGAGCGGAGCGGTCTACCCTAAAAATGAGATAGCGGGATGACGCGGAACGGGATAATCGCTATTTTAATATTAATTTATATATATATATTGGGAAAAAACCCAAGTCCCGCCAATCCTAGATCATTAAAAAGGGCCACTCACCATTTATCCACGTACCAAGCCTAGTAATGCTAGACGTGAGGGGGTGTATTGGGAAAAACCCAAGTCCCACATCAACTAGAGATTAGGCAATTGAATAGTATATAAGTGGAAAACAACCCTCACCTTACAAGTCAGTTTTGTAGGGTTGAGTTAGGCTTAATCCACTATTCTAACATGGTATCAGAGCCATTTAGATCCACTTTAAAAATGGGTCACCTACCATTGATGCATGCCTCATAGGCATGAGGGGGTGTATTGGGAAAAAACCCAAGTCCCGCCAATCCTAGATCATTAAAAAGGGTCACCCACCATTTATCCATGTACCAAGCCCAGTAGTGCTGGACGTGAGGGGGTGTATTGGGAAAAACCCAAGTCCCACATCGACTAGAGATTAGGCAATTGAATAGTATATAAGTGGAAAACAATTCTCACCTTACAAGCCGGTTTTGTAGGATTGAGTTAGGCTTAATCCACTATTCTAACAATATATATTAAATAATTAATATAATATATATATATATATATAAAAGTTAAAAAAAAACTCTAAATTCATGCATTAAACATTTTTAATAATTAAAAGTTCATAGTACTCAAACAATACATAATATAAAATGTCTTCAAAACAAAGTGCTAAAGCTCTAAGTAAGTAAAAAATTAAACATTATAGTTTAATCTTCTTCCTTATCATGATTAAAGTCTTCCTCTCCCTCAAATTCATCACCCCCACTAGCATTAGAATTATATTCTTCTTCTTCCTCTACTTCATCATCATCCTCGTCTTCCAACACTTCCATCACTTTCTTCCCTTTATCTTTCCTGGATGTAGATGCAATTGTTGATGTCTTGTTCACTTGTGTTTGTCTCTTAGTGTATGTCAAAGGTTCACTAGCACCACTTGCCTGGGCAACATCTCTCCAAGTCAAAACATCATCATCAAACACCAAGTCATCTTCAAAATCATCCTCATCATTCTCTTCTCCCAACATCCATTCATTGTTATCATCAACTTCATTTAAAACAATTGGATCAATTGCATCTTGACACTCAAAGTGTTCTTGAAGAGCTTGATTATATTTAATAAAAATCAAGTCTTGAAGCTTTTGGTGCTCAAGCTTACTTCTCTTCTTTGAGTGAATTTATAATAATTTAAGAACATGACGCTTAGTTAATTTTCCATTTTCAATAGTAAACTCAAATTTAAATCCATTAATTCATTAGCTTACATGCTCAAAGGTACTCCAATTACGCTCGCAACCAGATGAGCTACAAGTCAAGCTTAGTACTTTAATGACAATAATTTGCAAATGTGGTGTATGTCCTCCATAAATCTTCCACCACTCAGCTATAAATGCAAATATTATTATATAAATAAATTATCAAATAACTATAAAATTTGTAAGTAAAGTTAAGGCTTAAGAAAAGTCTCACTTACCAGGAGCCATTTTAACCCTTGCTCTAACTGTTGCAGGAATGTCAAATCTTCCTCCTGCCCTTTTATATATTGCCAATTGATTGTGAACATTGTCTACAATGTCATTATT